TCCCGGAAGGGCTATGGGAAGTTATGACCGTCGACCTCATCACTCAGCTCCCAGAATCAGATGGTTATGATGCCATTTGTGTAGTCGTGGATCGATTGACAAAGCGGGCTCACTTCTACCCAATAACAAACGAGTTCTTGGCAAAGGATCTAGCAGAATTGCTATACAATCGGGTGTATCCGCTTCACGGCTTACCATCCCAGATTATATCCGACCGAGGTGTTCAGTTTGCGGCTACACTGTTCCAGGAATGGTGTAAGCTACTAGGGATTGAGTCCACCATGTCCACCACGTACCACCCACAAACTGATGGTCAGACTGAAAGAGTCAACCAAGTTCTGGAGCAATATCTTCGCTGTTACATTGACTATCAACTCGACGATTGGTCGAGGCTACTTAGCTCTGCTGAGTTTGCCTACAACAATGCAGCGCATGAGGGCACCAAGGAGACACCATTCTTCTTGGAATATGGCAGACATCCACGGGCAGGTCCAACACTTACGAAGAAGGTGCAAAGAAGCGACCTCAATGACATAGTTTGGAACCGACAACAAGCGCAGGAGCAGGCGAAAGCCGCTCTCAAACTGGCAGCCGAGCGTATGAAGTGGTATTACAACCAAGAAGTCCAGAAAGTCCCCTTCAAAGTGGGCGACAAGGTCTTACTCGACCTCAGAGACTACCAAACTACTGGTCGAAAACTCAATGCACGGTATTCGGGGCCTTTCGAGATTGTTGAAAAACTCTCTCCAGTCACCTTCAGACTGAAATGGCCACTGAGGTTGACCAAATTACATCCGGTCTTCCACGCCAGTAAGCTTATACCCTACCACGAGGCGGAAATCCCAGGCCAGAAAGGACCAGCTGCAAAGCCGGTTATCATTGATGGTCATGAAGAATGGGAAGTGGAGAAGATCTTATCCTCTCGCCGGCACTACCGCAAGCTTCAGTACCTCGTACATTGGAAGAATACCACTCCCGACGAGGATACATGGAAACCAGTAGCGAACCTCAAAGGCTCGAAGGAACTCATCAAAGAATATCACGATGCACACCCGCATGCAATCAGGTCGCTCGATGATAATGATGACAAGGTGTTTGCTCTCCTGAAAAGGGATGCAACACTTCGAGTTGAGCTATGAGGAGGCCAGGAACCCAAGAGAAAGACCGATACAGCAGCAGGCTTTGAACTGTATGCGAGTCAAAACCAGGAAGTCGCCAGTAACGCAACACTGCAGATTCCGACAGGAATCCGAATACAACTACCAGTTGGCACCTACGGGAGAATTACTCCAGTAGGGAATCCATTAGCCAAAGGAATCCGAGCAATCGAAGGCATTATCGAGCAGGGTGACCCAGCCGAAGTCAAGGTTGTTGTTACCAACACCGGACCATCTGAGCTGAAGATCGCCAAAGGCGACCCCATTGCTCAGCTCATTATTGAGCGTATAGCTGATTGTGATCTCGAGATTACCAAAGCATAAAGGCACTTCACTGGTCAAATGGTCGAAACTTCTCAAACGGAGCTCGAAGCTAGAGGCGGGGGTACTGTCACAGTTTCCCTAAATTTACCTAATTTTTCCGCTATTTCTGCGGACATATCAAAGGGTATAGGGACTTATCCATACTTATCTGTCCGCATATGGGTACAGCTGCATATCTAAGGGGTTATCCGCTTAAATAAGCGATACATGATCTTGTTCTGGACACATCAGGCTGGACTCTGATGCCGGACCTTTTCTAGATAGAAACCAGACTCCTTCTGGACCATGACATCATTCTGACATCATAGGTAGGAGCTAGGCTCAGGCACTAGGCCATAGGCCAGTCAATTCTGGACCCTAGGCCCAGGGCAGGGCAGGGCCAGACTATGACATTATATATGACATCATCGAGCACATGATACTTAGTAATCCTTACCCAGCTAGGTACCAGGGGTCCATTACCGGTCCCTGGGGTTTTCCTCATGTATATAAGGCA